TCAAATTGCCCAAGATGTACTAAAAAACGCAGAACTAGAAACGAATCTTTTCTATTTATCTGCTCACTTCTCTCATCTTCCATCCGCCATTTCCTCACGGGAGGCAAGCAATAGCAATACTACTTCGTATCAGTCGTTAAGTTTGTTCAAAACCACTGTTTCCAAATTGAATTCGGTTCCTGGAAGAGTTGGTGAAGTAGTAAAGGAAAAAGTACACAGCATTCTCTAAAGAATTCCAGAATATGGACAAATCTGTGAAATTGAAGAAACTTTAGCCGGTAAACGTACTGAACTGCCAAGTAAAAAATCACTAACAGTGGAGCAAATAGCGGATTTTGTACATGCGCCCCTAAGTTCCTGTGAGGTGGAAAGAAGTTTTTCCCGCTATAAGGACATCTTACGAGAAAATAGGAGGCGACTAACTATGGAAAACCTAGAACATTTAGTAATTGTGAACTGCAACAGAAGAGAAGTTGAAAGTTCGGAGAGCTAAGTGTGAGTACCATTGGATTTTTTGATTTGTAATGAAATATGTTGGCTTTGTTGCATGATTTGTATTTAAGTATAGCTTTTTATTGCAAGTGAATCATTCAGTGTTTACATAAAATGAACTTAATATTGATTTGTTGGTCATAAATTATGTAAAATCAATTTTAATATTTGGTATAAATTCTTATGTGCATATTTTAGTGCATATTTCAGAAGTCTTTCATGCATAAATGCATACATATTTAAGGGATTATTAGGGCATAAAAATCCGGTCCCTAGTCAGAACCCAAGGCTCAACGCTTTTAACACAAAATGGCGCTGGACATCTCTGTTTATAATTTCGCATGAAGTTTCTGGAACAAAATTTTATACACGTTAAATGTAATGCCTATTGATGCTACACATTCAGTTCGTCGTAATGACTTTCGCTTCATTACCTCAAGAACAATAATTGACCTATATAAACCGTGTGGGGTTAACATTAACACAGAAACTCCTGTTTCACATGAATTCATTTTGATGCAAGAAAGTCACATAATTATATTGAATTTATAATTTTTGGTGATGCCTCTTTTATGTGGGAGTTACTGTAAGTCAGTTGGATTGCTAGGGTTCCGCTCTATGAAAATGTTCAGTTGCTTTTGCATTCGTGAAGTGATTCAAGTCTCGTCTTTATTTCAGTACTTGGACGACGAGACCTCAGATTCTGGCGAGGTTTCCCAGGAACCAGAGGAGCCTCTCGGCCGCAGTCTGACTGATAGCCTCATCTATAGCCTCATTAAAATGGTCAGAATATTCTTCGGGTACCTCACTCCCACCTCCGCCCGAATGGCACCATATTGCAGCCTCCGAACACCAACATACCAAACGGCCAACGAGACTACCAAGGTCACAGTAGCCTTGTAATAACAGGGCTTGTTTCCGCCACGGAAGGAGATCCGGCACATTTACTGAATCTGGCAACTGTATATATTTACATTTTGAAACTTCCCAGGAATAAATAAACACAATAATTACACTTTCTGCCTTTATACCATCTGACTGTCAAGCCCGGCCAGAGCCGCAAATAATACCCACAGTTGAAGAAAGCAGTCTTCTGGGATTTGGCACCGTGTAGATGTGGTGTTCACCGACGTTTCGGAGGAATCTGCTCCCTCAGCCTTACCGCAGAAGAATGTATGTGTACCTCCGTATCCTACGTTGAAGAAGGAAGGCGCTGGTACCTCTGAAACGTCTCACGGCTTCACATCCCAGCAGTCTTAATATTCGTCGTCGTACTGCAGTTCTTTGCTTCATGATTAATTCAGTAGCTCAGGATACGTAACGTCCAATGACAGATCAGAAGTCGTGGCAGATTTCAATCCTTTAAACTCCAAAATTTATCAAAATAAAACTTAGAAATGCAGTTCCTATCCAGCATAAAATATACTGTGTCTCCAATCCGAAAAACAAGAGGTCGATGCTGTTTGGTGATGTGATTTTATTTACTCTAAGAATCACACAGCGTAGGCAAAAACAGAGCCTCTGATGTTACAGTAAGCGGCTTATATAGGCACCACAGAACGTTATGGTACCATCTCCGAAACTGGCTGAAGGGACTGAGGAATAGCACAAAAATCTGGCAGGAGAGCCAGTCTCAAAGCCGAGGTTTGGACTCAGAGCATTCTGACAGCAAACAGGAGAGCCACAACCTGACAATGACGCTCATTATAAGCATCTCATCCTTTCGTGTGTATAATGTTCTGTGGGCGTGAGATTCATCATTTTCATTCGCGCACTATCACGTTACTATGGCAACAAAATGTCTGTCGAGCGCTAAAACGTTTTATATAGTAGATCACGAACCAGCAGGCAGTCTTTTGATTCAGTGTATCGTGTCTATTCTGTGAATATTCGTAACATTTTATCTTGATATGTGAAGTGGACCGCCTCTGTGGTCTAGTCGTCAGAGTTCCTGGCTACAGATCCAGAGGTCCCGGGTTCGATTCCCGGCTGTACCAGATTTTTCTGAGAAGTAGTGGGTCTGTAATGGGGTTCACTCAGTAACGTGTAGGAGGACTGGAGAGGCACAGAGAGGAAAGGCACGGGAAGTCAATAAAACGACAGTTAATGTAACAAATTATGACATTCCAATGTAAGATTTGAGGTTTTCACGGCGGTGACTATGAAGAAAGCAGTCTTCTGGGATGTGGCACCGTGTAGATGTGGTGTTAACTGACGTTTCGGAGGAACGTATCGCCTCCATCTTCAGGGTAGAAGGAATAATAAAAAATCTGCATGCGAAGAGACCGTGAGAACCGGTGTTCCTCCGAAACGTCGGTTAACACCACATCCACACGGTGTCACATCCCAGAAGACTGCTTCCTTCCTTATGACATTCCAAGTTCAAAATCAAACGGGCCTTGCATTAGTGACAATTTGCTATCTCTCTACAGCGTAGAAGCAGGCTTCAATGCGTGTGTATATTTGAGACGTGCTGTTTGTGATTTTGCTCATCCCGCTGGTTCTGATTCCCGTTACAGACACGGGCATGATGATGCAAAGCGAATCGTTGGTCGGATGGGTGTAGGGGTGAGGGGAAGTGCTTCCAAATTTGGGAGCTCACGCGCGACTTTATGAATCTTGTGTCAGATGTGACTATTGTGCAGTGACTATTAGCCGCACTGCCTTCAGGCTCCGTGTAATCTGGCAAACGTTTACCAAATTTTCAGAGGAACATCATTAAACATCTATCAGACTACAGGCGTCATATCTCAGAAGACTATTGTTCGACGTTAATCTTGTTTATGAAAATAACATTAAAATGTTCCTGTTCACACTGTGACGCATATGCCCATTGCTAGGAAACGCCTCTCTAAACATATTCCTGAAGCATACATACATGTTGACCAGCAGACTTACTTTTCGTGGGGGCATTTGACGCCGTGTAGTTTGTTAAGTCGTAAATAATATTTCGGAAGAAAGATCGTTCTGTCTGCAGTGCTTAAGTGTGAACACTTTACCAGACTGCACGTCTCATACCACAGCATAAGAACGTTTATACTGACCGCTGTTAGAACGTCAAATCTCATCCAGAAAAAAAAATTGTCGGTAAGGGAGACCCGTAAGTAGACCTAGATATAGAATCCCATCCTCCAGCAGATATTCGAACCAAGACCCTCTTCAGTACGAGGACAACAAATGTCAGGGGTCACCTCTAAAGTAACATTTTCAGCAGGAGAACACTGCATGGTTCTGGGGAAGCGTGAATTATACAGAACTGTGTAAGATCTGAGGCTTTCACGGCGGTGACTATGAAGAAAGCAGTCTTCTGGGATTTGGCATCGTGTATATGTGGTGTTAACCGACGTTTCGGAGGAACGTATCGCCTCCATCTTCAGG